CCAAAGAGGACCTAGTTAAAAACAAAGTTAGACTACATCACTCTTCTGTTCAAAATCCCCCTATAGTATCCTGGATACTCACAATAAAATCCAGTATCCTTTCAAGTTATCCTTGGATATGGTATCCTAAACATGAGGAAACAGTATCCTAAACATGAGGATACAGTATCCTAAACATGATTTAGCCATCCTGTTTCCAGCTGGAGCACATTTCTCTCTCTCTCACCCCTTGCCTGTCCTATTCTGCCATGCTTGCCACCTTGATTCTCCTCAAACGTGCACAGCACAATCCTATCTTAGGGCCCATTGCTCATGCTGCTCCTTAGACCTGGAACAATCTTACTATAAATAGCTTCAAGGCTCACTCCTGTAACTCTCATCCAAATGTTATTTTTCAGAGAAGGCTTCTCTGCCCTTCTGATTTTTAACTGCAACTCTCCTACCACCAATCTCTAGTATTCTCCTGTTCCCCTTCTAATATATTAGTGCTTTTTTCCGTAGTACTAACCACAACCATCATCAAACATTATATATGTATTGCTTATTTGTTTTTATTGTCTATTTACCTACACCAAGTAAGACATCTCAGTACGACATGAACCTAGTAGGTAACTCAGTATTTCTCTAGTATAAAGTACTCACCACTTTAGATTAGGGTCCCACCAAGGATATTACTTCAAAAATAAACTTTCAAATCTTAGAAAAAGAACTTATTTTGGTTTTATCAATAATATAAGACTAACCAGCAATCGGCCAAATATTCTCCTTAAGTCAAATATTTCTCATAAATTAATACAAGTGCCAGCAATTTGGCTACATGTATTGAAAGTATTTTCTTAAGGCTTACTCTTTGGCCCTTCAGTTTCACCTCAGCGAGTACCTATATCATGGAAACAATCCGAAATACGGGAAATACTCTATGCACATAAAACCTTCAGAAGTAAAAACTTAGAAATTAAAATGTCTAACGAATGTGCTAACATAGAATAAATTATGACCCATTTCCTTGACAAAAATAATGTTCATGCAATTCATTACTCTGTTTCAAAAACTTTAGTGGATCAACTTTGACTTCAAGATAAATTTGGCCTCTCCTTCCCTCCTTCAGCCTCCCCTCTTCATAACCTGTCTTCCAGGCACAATTCACCAGCCCTTTCTTCCCCTAAAGTCTAGTTTCTAGAAGACTCTAACACCTTGGTTATGTGCTCTCCTAGGTACTCTGATAGAACTTTCCCACAGAAGCCACACTTCACAGTCATTATGGTAAATGCTTCTTCACTGGTCTTTTTCTCCCAGTAAAGCAAATATCTAACACCTAGCGTAGTGCCTAATCTTAAGTAGGCAATTTATGCAGAAATGAACTAAGTAATATTACATAAACGTGCTTATGATGCCACTGCAAATTAACGGTGTATTTTGGGTATTATATGATCTATTTTCTTCCTTTGTAAATTTGCCAGGTTATCTATGTTGGTAGAAATTGTACAAAGGGAACAAAGATATACTCACATATGTACATAATGAATCACAATTTAGTAATAACATTGTAGTGCTACAAAATTCTTACATAAAGCCAGTTCCCCAAACACTTCCCTGAAAGTGTACAAAACCCAATAAAAACAATTATGTGAAAAACTAACAATGCAGCTAGTCCTTCTATTACCTGAGTGGAGTTAGATAGTTGGTTTTTCCACGGCTCCTCTGCGCTGCTGGTCAGGTTTGTGCGGTTATGAGGTAGAGTGAGTGCGTTTCGCTGCAGGTAAGGCACGTTTCCATTACTTCCACTTCCTGTTACATGATTATTGCCTATCAAAATAGTGTCTGTACTTCCCAGCGTTCTTGATGTGCTACAGGGAACATGGCCAGCAGAAAAGGGTCCATTGGCCAAAGGCTGCCCAGGGCAGGCAGGACGGACTCCAGGCTGAGAAACACTGGGCACTCTGGTCAGAGCAAGCTGTGGTTGCTGGCCAGAGACTGAGTTTGTAGGCAGTGATGAGTCAGCTGTTGGCCCATTAGGAATTCCAGTAGATCGTACCTGTGCAACTCCTGTTGGTCTCATCTGTCAAAGAACAAGGGAAAAGTAAATGTTGGTGTGTAATCTATAGGGAGAGAATCTATAGGAGACAGAATATGAAGATGGATCATTAGGGAATGTGTGATTTTACCCAAACGCTTAATTTCTCTATGTTGAAAAATACATACTAAAACAAGAAATTGTATTCGTTCATTTTAAAATAAGCTTCCTTGGAAAAGCAGAAATCTGTATCATTAAAAAAAAAAAAAGAAAAAAGAAAAAAGAAATCCCATTAGTAATGACAAAAGGAAGCAGCTGAAAATTATAGAAAATGACTCCTGAACTTACAGGTCCTTGTCTCAACCACAAAAGAAGGGACATCTCAAAATTTCATTCTGTTACATCTATGCCAGATCCTGTAAACTAAGCCCTAAAGACTTTGCCTCAGTTTAGGATCACTGGTTAAGTACTAAAAAATGTAATGTAAACAAACCCTTAGAATACATGTGAAATATCATGTAAATAAATAAAATACAAAGTATTGTGTTCAAAATTAAATTTGTAGTTGCTTTTGTCTAAAAATCTCCGTCAATTACCAGTATTTTAGGATATAGAGATTACTAAACTCTGTCAAATACCAGTAGAAAGTAAAAGTGAACATAAACATGCTCTAAAATGATATTAGAGTCAATAAAAATACTCAATATGCTAACAAATTTTAGGGAAAAATATGCTATACACACTTGGTGTTGCTGCATTAAGACAAACTGACTTTCCAGCTGTTCCAGCATCAGTTTCTGTGCTGGATTTAAATTATTTCTATTTGCGCGGAGCTGTTCCAAGTGCTAGAAGAAGAACAAAAAGAGAATATAGTCAAAGATATATTTAGGAAATAAGATCACTATTCTAAGCAACCTTTCCCTGAAATGACTAAACTCAGAACTACTATCTGGTCAAACATACTGTTTTCTGACCAAGAGTCATATACTCCAAGATGAAGTCCTTTAATAAGCCTGAGAAATGTAAGAAGGAACTAAGCATTCATCTGAACAAAGTTTACTATGAATTCTTTGCAAAAGATGGGCATGAAATTTTACTCATCCATACAGTATTTTTCGGTATTCACACAGAAAGCTCTTGAAGCTTAAAAATATATTGATAAGTATGCTAAAAGCAGCACTGTTTGGAATAGGCAAAGTCTGAAGACAACCTGAATGTTCAAAATTAGTGATCTGCTTAAATAAGGGTGTTACATCTATATAAAGAAATATGATGTAACCATAAAAGAACAAGGAAGCTCTTCACATACTGATGTGGAAAAGTCTATAAAATACATTGTCAACAGTAAATAAGAATCCTATCATTTGTGCAAAAAAGAAGAAAAATAATAATACATGTGAGAAAGAGGGGGATGTATATTTGCTTGTACATGCATAACACACCTCTGGAATGACAGATAAGAAATTAGTAATACCAATTGCATTTTGAATGGGTAGGGATCAGAGTTAGAAGAAAACTTTACCCTATACACCCTATATTCATACTTTATGCAGTGTGAACCATGTGAATACATTACCTGTTTATTTATTTTTTATTTTTTAAAGAAGAAATTAAAAACAAGAATGAATGATTTCCATTATTCTGGTAAATGCCAGCTTGTTTTACTTTTGTTCAGATTAATTGAATGTACTACCATTTAACTTACAAGAATTAATACTTAGGGCTGGGTGCAGTGGCTGACACCTGTAATCCCAGAACTTTTGGGAGCCCAAGGTGGGTGGATCACTTGAGGTCAGGAGTTCGAGACCAGTCTGGCCAATATGGCGAAACCCAATCTCTACCAAAATACAAAAATTAGCTGGGTGTGATGGCACATGCCTGCAATCCCAGCTACTCTGAAGGTTAAGGCACAAGAATCACTTTAACACAGGATGTGGAGGTTGCAGTGAGCTGAGATTACGCCACTATACTCCAGCCTGGGTGACAGAGCAAGACTCTGGTCTCAAAAAGAAAATAGAATTAATACTTCAAGAACTGAAAGTTGCTACCTCTACTCCTCTTTAACAGAAAAAACAATCTGTCAAAAACATCTTACATACCTGTAATTTCTGTGGTGTCAAACACCATGAATGAGCTTGTTGCTGTACTGGAGGATGTGACACAGCATGTCCACCACTCCAATTGTCAGAAGTATTCTGAGGAAAAGTATCAGAAAGTATTACACTGAAATGCCCT